ATTGCTTTACCTTTATTTGAAGCCCAATACAAGGGCGTCGATCCAAATTTATTTTGACTGTTGACATTGGCCCCGTTTTTAAGCAACAGTTCAACAACTCGCCCATGACCTAAGAAAATGATTTTGATACAAATATTATGGAACTTTTGTTATCTATAGAAAATCGATTAGAATCACCTTCCTGAGCGGCGACAATTATTGGTACAGTTCCTTTGTTATTACTGATGTTTACATCCGCACCTTTTTCGAGTAATATTTGGACGACCCGCTCATGGCCTTAATTTGACAACAAAAAATTTACATTCTGACATACATTTCAATTGAAAATGGGCTTTCTTTAACAAATACTGTGAAAAAAAGGATTAAACATATTTAAATTTGAATGATTTTGTTACCACCAAAAGAGGCTGTATACAACGGACTGTCGCCATCGTTATCTTTCAAATTAATGTCTGCACCATTCCTTATCAACAGTTCAACTACATTAGTATGACCTGAGAAGATAGAGATTTAAATATTTATAACATTTTGACGTTTTGAAAAGAGTGACATCATATTCGATTGCTTTACCTTTATTTGAAGCCCAATACAAGGGTGTCGATCCTATGTTATTTTGACTGTTGACATTGGCACCGTTTTTGAGCAACAGTTCAACAACTCGCCCATGACCTATGAAATGGATTTTGATACAAATATTTTGGAACTTTTGTTATCTATAGATAATTGATTGAATTTTGTTACCATTCAAAGAGGCTGTATACAGCGAACTATCGCCGTCCCTATCTTTCAAATTAATGTCCGCACCATTCCTTATCAACAGTTCAACTACATTAGTATGACCTGAGAAAATAGAGATTCAAATATTTATAATATTTTGACGGTTTGAAAAGAGTGACATCATATTCGATTGCTTTACCCTCTCTTGAAGCCCAATACAAGGGCGTCGATCCTATGTTATTTTTACTGTTGACATTGGCACCGTTTTTAAGCAACAGTTCAACAACTCGCCCATGACCTATGAAAATGATTTTGATATAAATATTATGGAACTTTTGTTATCTATAGAAAATCGATTAGAATCACCTTCTTGAGCGGCGACAATTATTGGTGCACTTCCATTCTTATTTCTGATGTTTACATCCGCACCTTTTTCTAGTAATATTTGGACGATACGCTCATAACCTTAATTTGACAAAAGAAATTCATATTCTGACATATATTTCAGATTGAAAATGGACTTTCTTTCACACATTATGTGCAAGAAAAAAAATTATAAAAATTTAAATGATTTTGTTACCAGTGGTAACTTACCACTAAAAGAGGATGTATATAGTGGGCTATAGCCGCCTTTTTCTTTTAAATTAACGTCAGCACCATTCCTTGTCAATAATTCGACTATATTGGTTTGACCTAAGGAAATGGAGATTCAAAAATTCATTTTCGTTTTGAGAGTTTTAAAAATCATTTTAAGTATTTAAATTTTTGCTTTTTAGTTACCATAGAAAGAAGCTATATAAATTGGACTTTCTTCATCGTTATCTTTCAAATTAACGTCTGCACCATTCCTTATCAACAGTTCAACTACATTAGTATGACCTGAGAAAATGGAGATTCAAATTTTATCATTTTGAGGGTTTGAAAAGAATGACATTCGATTGCTTTACCCTTTCTTGAAGCCCAATACAAGGGCGTCGATCCAAAGTTATTTTGACTGTTGACATTGGCACCGTTTTTAAGCAACAGTTCCACAACTCGCCCATGACCTATGAAAATGATTTTGATATAAATATTATGGAACTTTTGTTATCTATAGAAAATCGATTAGAATCACCTTCTTGAGCGGCAGCAATTATTGGTGCCGTTCCTCTCTTATTTCTGATGTTTACATCCGCAACTTTTTCGATTAATATTTGGACGATACGCTCATAACCTTAAATTGATAACATAAAATCATATCCTAACATACATTTCAATTGGAAATGAGCACCCTTGCGAAAAAAAATTAAAAATATTTAAATTAAAATGATTTTGTTACCATTAAAAGAGGCTGTATACAGGGGACTAAAACCGTCGTTATCTTTAAAATTAATGTCAGCACCATTCCTTGTCAACAACTCAACTACATTAGATTTATCTGAAATGAAAGAGATTCAAATATTTGTGCTATTCTATGTATTTGGACAAAATGCAACCAAATTTTGAAACTACCATAGTAAGTTGCGGTTAATAAAGGTGTCCAACCATTACGGTTTTTGATATTAACATCCACTCTGTTTCTTATTAATTCTCCGATTTTTTGTACATCGCCTGTGTAGAACATTAAACGATTTCAAATGTATTGACCAGTAATGCTTATGGATAAATTTAAAGAATTCCAAAAATATGTCCATTGCTTACCAGTTTGAGCAGCGTTGTGAAAGGCTTGCCATGTTTCTCTGCAGTGAAGGTATTTTAAAGGATTATAATACACAAAATACGATGTTTCAGTTATTCATTGGTTAGAAAAACAAAATACTTACACGTTTTCGGCTCTCCTTAGTCGAGTGGCTGGAATTGATCAAAGTTCATTATTACACGATTGACATGTATGCAATCAGAAATACATTATTTCCACATATATATA